CTTAGCTGGGAAGTGCTGTATGTGAAGAGCACAGAATCATGATATACAACATTATCTCTTATTATTTTACTCCCAGGTCTCCTGATTAGTGTTGGTACATTAACTGTTCAAAACCATATAGCTTAACTGTTTTTGTTCCCCCCTCCCCAACTGTTTCATTGCAGATGCAGGGAAGAGAGAAGCAACTCTCAATGAAGACTAAACAGCTGTCTGAACTCTTTTTGCAAGCAATTGGATCCAAAGATGACTTGTTAGTTTCCAGTGAACCATTGGACATTCTTACACACAAGAATGCACTGTGTCTCTGTCTAGCACACACATAATACATCAATGGTACTCCTGGCAGTCTCCAATCACACCTGCATCTAGCAGAAGGAACCCTTGTTTTCTATTTGCCTTTAACTAAGAAAGTAACTGGGGTTTGAGTAAGAGAAGGATACTGCTAAGCCTAATGTTAGTGAATAAGCCAGCTGGCTTTTGGTAATGCTGGTAATAAAGATGACAAGTATTGGAACCAGTGGGGAAAAACCTGAGTCTTATTTGCACTTTATGTAAATTTTCTAGCTCAATGGGAAGGAGCTTTACAAATTAAAATCTGTGGCAGACTGTAGATGGGCTAGGCAAGATACTGAAAATGTGAAATTAAACTAGGTATTTATAAAGGGTCATCTTTTGTTATGCTAAACGTGGGGCCATCGATGGACTGCTAATCACTTTGCGGCACAAAGCATTGGCTTAACTCTTCTATTTTCTTACTTTCTAAGAAGATAATCATCCACGTTGTCATCAAATCGCCTGTATTTTATTCATATTTCAGAAGTTGAACAGCAGCTCTTCAGTTGTTTTGCCTTTGCACAGCACTAGAAATGAAGGGGGAGGTGGTCATGCAGACATCCAATTTTATGAACTGTTCCTTTCTGATCTGAGATGGATCTATGTATTTTTTCCATATATTTTATAAAATGCTGCTTTTCCCCCAAAGATTGGTTAGCTTGGAAGGTCATTGAGAGAAATGCCTTAGGCCTAAAAGCCAATCTACTTTTTTTCTACCTTTACACATCCTCTTTTTTGTATGACAGAAGCATTAATCTAAAAGGTAAAGTTATGTTCAGCAGCCAGACAAATGTAGGATATGTAACAACAGTTGGCTGAAGCACTTCAGGAGCCAGATCCACAAGGGTATTTAGGTACTGAAATCAATGGGAGCATAGGCACCTAAATATGATTTTGAAGAATTTGAATGTAGAATTTGAATGTAACAAACCAAGTAGGACAAAAACACTGTTACACCAAGTAATTATTTTCCCTCCTGCATTTGAGCCATAAGGTGTACAAAGAGAGGATTTGGTTCCAATGAACAAGCACATATTTTCTTTTCCAAGATAATTTTGTTAAGAGTAGCTTCCAAGTTGTCCCAAGGCAACTTAAACTTTTGCAACAGCACTTAATCAGCAGTTCAAGAAGTTCTCACTGTATCTAGAAGAATTTCAGTGGACATACTTACCACATAAATTAGTTGTTTTTGTTTCAAAGTAATTATACACTCATATATACTAACTTTCTCTCTTCCTTAATATTTATTCAAGATTGTGAGTGTATGTCAGTTAGTACTAAGATCTTCCAAGTATATGTTTTTCTCCGCATCCTATATTTCCTCCATGTATAAGAACCCACGATGGCTTTGGTAGAACCTGCCAACTACCCTTTTTCCTTCTTTACTTCAACCATCTCATTAATCATTGATTTACAGTAGATAGGCTTCCTATTGCCATGCCATGATTGGCCAGAGGGGGAGCAATTGTCAGTTCATCTTTTGTCTTCCACAACATTGAGGCATAGAATGAGAATGACAGTTCGGCAGTGTGTAGCACCAAGGTTAAGCTCTTTTGAGGTTATTCAGATTACCTAGCTAGTGACAAAAGGGCAACAGCTATGTAGGGTGTAAAGGCATCAAAATGGTAGTAGGAAATGATTATTTCTGAGGAGAGAAATTTCGTATCCCCATACCTGATATTGAAGACTTAATATAAATATACCATTTTTGGCCAACCCTTCCTACTCACGCTCCTGGAAACCTGTGTGTGATTATTAGGGGTCTGCCCAAACCAAGGAGGCAGGCAGCTGATTTTGTGGGTAGATTGCAGAGCTGGCCACCATTTTTGTGAATTTATTGTGGTGGGGCCCCTCCACATCTCTGGCCAAGTGACTCCACTCCCAGTTAGTTGAGGGCTGTCCATCATGCAGCCCCATTCCTCGCTGCTGATTGGTAGAAGGGTGGGACCAGGTGACAGGCAGCCCTCAGCCAATCAGCAGTGAGGGGTGGGGACCATAGCCATCTTGCCTGCTCACCTTCATGCTGGCAGCCCCCCTCCCCCTTTCTCTGTCTGGTGGGATGTGCACCATGAGGACTGCTGGCTCCCACTGGGGAGCCAGCATTTTATTTTTAGT